AATAATAATCTTAGAATAATGTATTTTAAAATATCCCTAGTCAAGTATTAATTCGAAGCTTAGGTTGAATTAATATGTTACGGCTAGTAGATGTAGAGATTCATATGGAGATATAGAATCCACATATAGGTACAAGATGGGATCTTGTGTGTCACACGTGGCTTACTACGAGAACGTTTCATTGGATGTCATATGAATGGCATACGTTTCTCATGTGGTCATTATACATATAGTCCTTTAACTTGAGATCATGGAATAAATAAGTAAAATTTGTCAAACGCTTAAACAACTAATTATTTGATTATTACAACTTCAATAAGCAAAAACATATATTAAATTTTACCTTTTACAACACGTTTTATTACAACTGATTATCTACTTTCACTTAGAAACACAAATCCAAACACTCCTTAATCATAAGTGATTTATCCTTAAAACTAGTAATATATCATATCCTAATCATTCCATAACTGAGTGTACATTGAAAACTGATTCTAATCATTTCATTGCAAGGTGACAAAATGGTTGTTGGGTATATCATGTATCACTTAGTAGTACTAGCATGTATCAAAATATGATTTGTTCCTCTTGTATGACGAGAGTGATATCCATGGGCCCCTCGATTAAATAGTAACGAGGAAGTGATACATGCTTAGATGATCAACATATGATATTGTATTTGTTTTATCAATATATTCTGGAATCGAGAAACAAAAGATTGAACATAATGAGAATGACACATCCATGCCTCATATTCAATCTGGAATCTGAATGATGGGACATGAATGTAAACTGATAATGATCACACAATTTGTTGATTAACTGAATCACCAAACTTTATCATTTGGATAACGATGATATTATTGCTAGATGTCGTTCTTCGTTTATAATTATAAATATGATTTATAATTATTGCCAATGTGACAAAAATCCCAATGGGTCACATATATAAAATTTATATGAATAAGGAGAATAAATAATTAAAAGAATTTTTTTTATCTTATTAAAACCGATTCTATCTTATTAAAACCGATTCTATCTTATTGAATCAAATTTTGGTGGGACATGATTAATAAATAGAGACTTGTCAAAATGAAATGTGTGTAAAGGATAATCAATCCTTTAGAAGATATAAGATCTTTTAAAGGTCGTGTCACTCTTCCAACAGTATACCTGTGAGATTTGTAATATCATTTTACACACACACATATATACAAAGAGGCCATTGTGAGATAAATGGTTCATTAGATGAGAGCTCGAGCAATAGCTGCAAGAATTGTTCATAGGATTATCTATCTCTCTCTACATACACACACACACACACATATATATATACATATACACACACACACACACACACACATATATATATATATATATATATATATATA